AATATTCAAGAGAGAAGATTCTAGAGAGTGACACTACAACAATTGAAACTTTTGGCGACTAAATTTTTAGTCACCAAAAGTCAAGTTTTAGTCGCCAAAGGTTTTTAGCGACTAAAATTTTTTGTCGCCAGATTAGTCATTGAAGTCGGAAAAGGAAATTGGCGACTAAACACTAAATTTCTAACTAAATTTTTAGTCACCAAAAGCATTGAAATAAAATTAAATATCACATTTCCAGCGACTAAAAATTTTTTGTTGCAAAAAACTTCAATTATATATAATGACTAAAGGTTTAGTCGCCAAATATTTTTTTGGTTCATCCTATTATTTTTTTAGCTACTAAATATATTAGTCACCTAAAGTCTCACATTTTTTGCTACTAAACTTGTAGTCGGCAAAAGGTTTTTGTTGTTCATCATTTTTTTTTTTTCGCTACTAAATATTTTAGTCGCCTAAAGTTTGATTGTTTTTTGGCTACTAAGGTTTTAGTCGCCTAAAGTCTGCTCTTTTTGTTTTTTTTTTGCTACTAAGCTTTTAGTCACCAAAATTGTTTTCCCAATTTTTTTTTTTTAGCTACTAACAATTTAGTTGCTAAAATATGTACCTCATTTTTTACTACAAATTGTTTAGTCGCCAAAAACATGATGTTTTGTTTTATCGCAAAATTATAATTTCTCCTCAACCTATCTATATTTCATGCAACCTAGTACGTATATAAACAAAACAATACATATATTATCAATCATTCCACAATCTACATCCATTTCACTTCTAACCATTCAAACATGAATAAGTTTAAATGTCAAATTCCATACAAACTAACTATAGTCCACACTAAAATAATAATTCCATACAAAATAAAGAATCATATAAAAATCAAGCCATCTGTATACAAAAAATATATTTACTACCATGCAAAATCTGTACCACAACAAAAGGTAATCTATACACTACGCCAGTAATTATCAGTTGGATACCAAAAGTTATCTGTATCGATAATACTAATCCACACAAAAGCAAAGGACGACAAAATTAACAGGATAATACAAAAGTGTAAATTGTCCTCCATACACAAAAAAGGATTATCCACAAGTCCACACCGAAATCCATCTACAAAAAATATATATATATATATATATATATATTTGCACCCATTAGAAAATATCAATTGATTCAGACATATGAAAAAGGTTGTAACATGCATTTAAGGTAGAACAACCTATAAATGCCTTTTTGGAAATAAAATCATATATATGTATCATGAAAAATTTATTCCAAGCAACTACATAAACATTCAAACTTGAACAGGTCGACATTGATTTTTAAATATTTTACGTACTTAAGTAGCCCTTGACATGTTTGGAACATCATAGAAACAAAATGATGAAACCCAAGAAACAAATGCTTCGCATCAAAATGATCTAAAATTCAAGAACAATAGGGAAGTGTCTAAATTAATAACATTAGCCAAGGATCACTTTCAACAAGTACACAAGTAACAATCTTCAAAGCACTTAGGAGTATTCATCAACATGCCATTCTAAGCATAGCAACAAAGCCTTACAACCCAATTCAAGGAGTTATCTAATATTATATCTGCAAAGGATTCACTATGTAACTTGATTTCAATTTACAAAAAATACAATTTTTAGGTTTCATTTCTCTTCATAAAATAAATGCTTATTACTAGAATGTTTTGGTTGTAATTTTACTTTACCTCTTCTTCATTCCCATTTTTCTAGTCAAAATAGAAGAAAAAAGTAATCTACAGGGTTATCTCCATAACCATATCATGCTTTCTTAATACGTTTACTACCCAAATGACCACCTTATATGATGAAACAATGACATCATTTAAAATCAAAATGTTGAACATTTCTTGGATGTCAAACTCTCTATTTTTTTATTAAGTTTAAGGCGTTTTATGCTCTAACTCCCAATGTACACGTGCTAATTACATGTCGTCTGCGGCCACATGCCCTATTTGTCACTAAGAAGTTGGTTGTGACATCCATATAGTGGTTCGGGGGCTTTAACGCCCCGAAATAAATGCAATGTACCATCCCAAACGATAAGTAAATGGCAATATGAATCAGAGTATTCTATTACATGAGATTTGATTGTACAAAAGGGTGACACATGCGATACACATTCATAAATAGTGCATCCTGAATGTACAACATGTGTTACGACTCAGTTAAAAGAGATAACCCTAAAGGCTTACGTCTTTCCAAGTCAAGGCTTGGATACATCAAAAGTGAGTCCTAAGTTCGATACAAATAAAGCCCTAAGCTCTTATAAAAGTAAATACAAAATAATAAAATTGTGCCGTCAACTCCACAGTCCTCCCAAGCTAAGTCCTTAGTGGAGACATATCACTAGCACCTGAAAATGGTTTTTCCCAAATAGGGTGAGCCAAAACTCAGTAGAAATAATCTAACACAATATATGAATCTTAACAAAGATATAAGGGTGAAATGCATAGGCAATGCCCATGTCAAAACGGTTTACATTTCTTTCTCAAAATCATGCCATACTCAATTTATATCACAATTCTCAAATCATGTCCTCTATCATAGAAAACAAGAGGGAATTCTCCAACTGGTGCAACCTTTCATGGATATTTCGTCCGTAGGAAACCGTCAAACGGCACCCATGTAAACGTAATCTATACAAGCACTACTATTGGCATTTTACGGATATTTCATCCACGGGGAATTGGCACCTATGTATACGCACGTGTTTCAAGACTTTTGCCCTGGACACACAGACCAACTTAGTTTGGTGATACACACCATTTTCCAACTTTTACCCTTTTTTTCTCAAAATCACATACATTTGCAATGTATTAAATGAGCAACAATATTCAATGCTCATGGATGAGAAATTAGTTTCAATTCACATAATCCTCATGCAATTTCTACAACAATCATAGCTATCCTCCACCGATAGCTCAAAACAGATATTTATAAACAGATATAAAATCTCCAATACAGATAAACTTTCCAAATTTCAAGGTGAATGATAATACATATCAAACTCCACCATCTATATCAATATCCATCCAATTTCATATTTCTAACATCAATTCCATTTATTTATATAAAATAATTATTTGAGTCATTTAGGGTATAACCCATTTTTCTTCCAAAATCCATTCCAAGTATTAAAATCAATGGTTTGATTACAACTCAACCCCATTTCCAACCCCACAATCATTTTCAATACAACCATTTGAAAACCCCTCTTTTGATTTTAATCCAAAACTCTAGGTTTGTTCAAAATCTTCCAAAATCACAAGATTGTTTCATAAAAACAAATAGCTAAGTTAAAAATCATAAAAGGGTGTAAAGAATCACTACTTCAAAGCTAGAAGACCAAGGAGAGAGTGGAGAAACCCCAAGGAAACTGAAATCCAATTCTATTCGGATGAAAACAAAGCTCTAGGTGAACTCTACCTTTTTAACAAAAGGAGTAGGGTGGAGAAATGGGTAGATCTTAGTGTATTTGAAGAAAGAGAGCAAGTTCTAGAGAGAGGAGCTCTAGATTTAGGGTTTTGAAGTGTTTTAGAGAGAGAGAGAGAGAGAGAGAGATGAAAAAGTGACTTTTACAAACTAATATACGCACGGTCCACTCAAGCGCAAGAAGTGACGTTCGAGCGTTTAGACACAAAAATGATTACCGTTCGAGCGCAAGAAGTGACGCTCGAGCACCAAGACACAATGACAAAGGGCATCACTGCTCGAGCGTAGGAAGTGATGCTCGAGCGTAGAATACACACTTCCAGTAGCTTTACAGACAGAAGACCATCGCTTGAGGGCAAGAATAGCTGCTAGAGCACACGACCGCCCGAGCGCAAGAAACATCACTTGAGCGTAGAATACACTCTCCTAATAATTTTGCAAGCCTGCAAAAGTACTGAGAGTTCGCAACGGCCGTTTAAGCATAAGAAGTGACGCTCAAGCGTAAGAGCAAAATTCTGGGCAACAAGGTTTTTTGAAAAACAATGTACCAACCTGTTCCAAACACGATCAACACATCCCAATAACCAAACTCAAGTAGGGAATAGAGGAATAAGACAAGAACAACCATACAAAACCAAGAAACCCGAATCTAGGATATCAAACGGGTCGGGTCTAAACCAGAATCGTTATATGGGTTGTTTTGCATTTTCACCTCCTGAACCCTCTTTTTTCGATTATGTTTAAGGCGTTTTTGACTTTAACTCCCAACCTACGTGTGCTAATTACATGTCGTCTATGGCCACGGTCCTATTTGTCACAAGGAAGCTGGTCGTGACATCCATATAGTTGTTTGGGGGCAATTTTGCATTTTTGCCCCCTGAACCCCCTTTTTTTGACTAAGTTTATGGCGTTTTCAACTCCAACTCCTAACCTACGCGTGCTAATTACATGCCGTCTGCGGTCACAAGTCCTATTTGTCACAAGGAAGCTGGCCATGAAATCCATCCAGCCTCAATCCATCCCCAAATGAGCACCAAAACCAGCCTCAATCTATTTCGAAAGCAGCAGCAAATGCACCCCCAACCCAGTCTTAAATTCAGTCTGAATCCATCACAGAGGTGCTTCAATTCACAATATTTACTACATTTCAACTTAATTTAATACCTTTCAAAATTATTGTATCACAATGTTTTATAATATAAAAATAATGTTATATATAATTTTATTTTTTATCTTATTTTTTCATTCCTAAACACAAAGTAATGGGATTGACATTTATAAGTGCATAAGAGACAGACTCACTTATGTGTTAAAGTGAAAAGAAGATGTAAAAAATCTGATTAATTACATGGAATAGTTTTCATCCTTTCAATAAATTTTCCTGTGTCTTCATTTGAATTTTCTCTAATATAACCATGTCATACAAAGTGCATTTCCTTATTTATTATAGGATCTTATGACTCGTGTAACATAAAAATGACCTACAGAGAATACAGACATGCCTAGAGAATTCAATTATATATATTCATAAATAAATAAATAAAATTCAGGATAGAAACCATACTATATTAATTAAACCTTAAGTGCACCTTTGGCTAGATCATGAGCTGTTTTAATTACATCTCTTCCTACTTTACTAATACAAACATAATACAAACATTTGACATATGATAAAATATCTTCTACAATTGTTGTAGTTCGCCATTCTATGTTGAGGCCTTTTGTATTGAGCATGCACACCAGCACTTGGCAATCCGTTTGAATGTTAATGTGTTTTATCCCATTGCGTATCGCCCATTTAATTGCTTCCAAACATGCTATCGCTTCTACCACCAATGGAGTTTGTAGTGACTTCTTCACTAGTGTTGTTTGGTTAAATTTTTGGTTTGTGTGATTCAAGCAAATCCATGCGATCCCTGTATTTTGCTGGAAGGATGTCCAAGATCCGTCAATGATTAATGTCCATAATCCATTCTCGCTTCCGGAACCTGCAAATCCTACAAAACACATACATTACATTGTTTTTCCCCTACTTCTAACACATTTTATGTTTTCATAGGTGTTTCATTATGTTTGTTATTAACAACAGTCATTGACAGGTTCTTTGCTTCCGTAATTGTGTCTTCAATAGATGGAACACATTGAACACTACATTATTCCTTTGTATCCAAATGGCCTAGAGAATTGCTACAGATTGGATGATAATGTCATCATTCTTTACTTGTTCCACCTATTCTTTGAACCATTGAAAGAAAACCACTGGTGTTCCACTATTAAAATCAAGCCCCAGCATTGATCCTCTCCACACCCTTTGTGCCCAATGACAATCAAAAAACATGTGTTCTAATGTCTCATCGCTATGACTACACCTAGCACATCAAAGATTTACAGCAACTCCTCTCTTTTTAAATTCCCATTGAACTCGCAGGATTCTATGAAGGCATTTCCAAATGCACAAAGCCCACTTGGGAGGTAAATTTAAATGCCACAACTTCTTCCAAACCACCTTTTCAGATGCATGTGTATACCACGAAGGATAAGAACAAAATACGGCTTGCTTGTAACCTGATTTAACTGAATATTCCCCATTTTTTAGAGGACTCCAGACAAGTTTATCTTCACAAGAAAGATTAGGAATATGTATTGGTACAATATTCCTAATACAATTATCGGGAAAAAAAGAGACGTAGAAAAATTTCTCTCCGACAACCACTCTCCATGTCCATGAAATGTTCTACTCTCATTTCTGGAAAGAATCTATGCAGCCCCCCTCCCCCCTCAATGGATTGGAGAATTCAGGGATCTATTGGTCCTCAAAAGGTACAAAAAAAAATTTCCATTCCCTACTACCCAATGAAGACCCGATTGTGGCAAGTCCTTTCCCCATAAAATGATGCGCCACCCCAAGATGAATTATTTCCTTTTTGAACTGTCAAGAAAGATTGATTGACACAGTTTTTACTTAGCAGAACTTTAGATAATAAGACATTCGGATTATTGACCACCCTCCACGCCTGTTTGGCTAACAACGCTTGGTTAAAGTATCTAAGATACATAAAACCCAAACCCCCCCACCAGGTTGCCAAGCTTGGAAAGGGTGAAGTTTACAAAGATGAATCCACTTTTTCCAATAGACCCCACGATCTCGAGTTGAATGCCAAATAAATCTCCTTACAATCACTGTTAGTTTTTCCAAGAATTGGCAAGAATTTGAAAGACAGGCATTAAATAAACTGGAATAGAATGGAGCACATGCTTTACCAGCACTCCCTGCCCAGCAAAATTCAATAGATTACATTCCATCCTTGAACTTCCTTTGAATTTTCTCAAGGATTGAGGAAAAGATTTGCCCTTTAGATCTCCCTGAATACCACTGACTTTCGCCGATAACAAAAATAAAAATCTAAATTTTTGATATAGATATTCACAAAGGGTACAAAATGAACCAATTATAACATCAAAATGAAATCTATGATAAATTTCACAATTTAAACAATACCCTCCAATCCACTGTTTCTACTGAATACAATTTGATCCCTAATGTTATACATTGCAGAGCAAGACTTAAGACCAATATTGATAATTAAAAAAAAAAATTAGGTGTCTGTACAAGGTGTGCTTAGATTGAAATTTGTAGAGAGAAAGAAAATTAAATGAAAAAGTGAATAATATAGAAAATAAATGGAAGCAAATATTCGCTTGAAAAGATCAAAGACAGAAAACGGAGAGATCAGATAAAAAGATCAATGTTTTATGAGATGACACTTGAGCAAAGATGAGAGCAAATATTCACTTCTGTGAAAATGGTTACAGTCTTCCTTCCTATAATGTATCCTTTGGCAATAAAAGTTTGGAAACAGATAAATTTCTATTGAATGTGTAACATTTTTAGGGTCTTTCTTTGGCAATAGAAGTTTAGAAACAGATAAGTTTCTATTGAATGTGTAACATTTTCAGGGTCAAGCAATTCCAACTTGCATGTTTAGGATTAGAAATCCTAAGGTAGTGTTTGGTAGACAAAACTTTGGATTGAAATGAACTAACTCTTCTCTCACAATAATTAATGATATTTCGTCTGTAATATATTATTTTTTTAGTGAACAAAATTTAAAATGGACATTAGAAGTGCAAAATATGTTTTAGTGGCCAAGAAGGTACACAACAAGAATCATAATGTGCAAAAATGAAACTTTGTGATTCATGAAGGTGAACAGTAGGGGTGTTCGCGGATCGGTTTTGTACGGTTTGCGGTTCGGTTTTGACCCGCCCGCATCTATGCGGTTTGGGAAAAAGTCAACCCGCAACCGCCCGCAGTGCGGTTTGCGGTTTGTGCGGATAGGGTTTGCAAATGTGCGGGCAGTTGCGGGCGGTTTGCGGTTTACACTTTTTTTCTTTAAAAATTAATTTTCGAGTTTTTTTTTCCCAGCGAATTTAGGCATCAAATTCATTTTATATATTTGTGATAACAATTTTTTGATGAGTTTACAAATAAAAGTTGAATATCAATGCATTAAATGAAAGTACCCAAAACAAAGAGACTCTACACTAGCATTTTTGCTATGAAAAAAATGTATATCAATGCATTAAAGGTTGTACTCAATTAGAATTGTCAGTTTAGTAATCAATAATCAAACTATAAGTTCCATCGACCATTAGAAGGAAAATTTTATTAGGAAAAAGTGGATGAATCACCAATGAAAATCATATAAGAAACCAAGTTTAGGACTTGATAATTCTACGGCATTAAAAAAGTTGAGAAATACTTAAAAATAAGGATCCTATAGTGTCGTAGATAATATAATGGTGCTCCTGTAAAAGTTACAAAGTTGGTATATAAAAAGTAAAAATAATAATAATAATAATAATAATAATTAAAGTGCGGGCGGTTTTTGCGGGTTGCGGGTTTAAACCGCAACCCGCCCGCAACCCGCAAATTTGTCATATTTCAAACCGCATCCGCCCGCATTATGTTTGCGAAACCGCCCATTTATATGCGGGTTGGGCGGATTGGGCGGTTTGAGCGGTTCGGATAAACCGTTGCCCACCCCTAGTGAACAGTGATTTTTACTTGTCTTTTGAATAAAGAAAATTTTAGAATAGTCCTATATGTTTATTACGCAATTTGAAACATATACTTGTTTGGTCAAACTCACTTTTTAGGAATAAAACTAAAAATTATTTTTGAATTTTCAAAACTTTGTTTTTGTATAAAACTAAAAATGATATGGAAATGATGGGATCTTCTTTTGAAGTTATCAGCTTGTTATTTAAAAAATAAATAAAATAGAAAACAAACTTTTTGTTTGGTATACTTTCTCTACAAAATATTTTCAAAGGTGTATTTGTAATTTACCCTAAATTACAAAGAGTTCCCCATTTGTGACTCTCACTTTACAAATCAGACAAATGCATCCATTCTATCCTCTTAAACATGGAGCACTTTCAAAACAAAATTAATTACACTTTGAAAGTGTATATATCAGCAACAAACTCATAGTCAATACTGATTTTGACTTGTTATGTGTGCCTGCATTTGTTCAATAAACTAATGAAAGAGAAAGGAAAAGAAGGGGAAATGTATGAAACCAGTAAAATCAAACCCATATTTAGGACATCAAACCCATAGAAATTTAGAAATCAATCTACAACAACCAAACCCATTTCAGAAATCAACACAAAATTAAACTGGATCAAGCATATAAAACCCTAAAGCAACAATCAAAAATGGAGGAAGCAGAGGAAAGGAGAGAGAGAGAGAGAGAGAGAGAGATACACAGCTAGACCGAGAACGAGAGAGAGAGAGTGAGCGCCTGGGGGCGCGCACGAGAGAGAGAGAGAGAGAACCTGTGATCTGCGGCTGTGGCGAAGGTGATTTGCGGCGGTGGCGGTGGTCATAGCCGTGGCGATGTCCTCCATACAGTGGGCTGCTGTGAGGTGATTTTTTGTGACGTTTGATGGTGAAGGACAGTCTATGTATGAGAGGTTTGAAGGAAGTTGTTTTGTCTAATAGAGAAAGAGGCAAGCAGGAATAAATGATTTCCCTCTAAACACTTTTCACCTTTAGCAACTAATTTGGGTTTTTGTCGGAAAATGAATATATATGACGACTATTCTATTTTGTAGCCAAATCTAAATCAACGGCGACTAAAATATTAGTTTCCAAAAGTTAATTTGGCAACTAGTTTTTCTTTTGGTCGGAAAAAGTAATATAGCACAACTAATTTTATTTTTTGGCACCAAAACTTTTGCAGACAAAATTGTTTGGTCACCAAAGAGTAACAATAAAAATACACCTGTTATTTGGCGACTAATTTTTCTTTTGTCGACAAAAAATATTATACGACGACTAAAAAAAAATTAGTAGCCTAAAAGCTAGACTAACGGTGACTAATACACTTTTTAGTAGCGAAAAGTGAAATTTTTGCCGACTAAAAATAAATTTAGTCGCCAATAAGTAATATACCTCAATTAAAAAAATTTAGCAGCTATACTCTAAACTAACGCCGACTGATACATTTTTTAGTCGCCAAATGTGACAGTTTTGGCGACTAAATTCCTTTAAGTTGTCAAATGTAATCGTCAAAAGTGTAAATTGTTGTAGTGTGAGAAGAGTTAGTAATGTCTCTCAATAAATACTACCTTAATTTATGTCTAATTTTGAAGAATTTTGTGTGTGATTTGCATTATGAAAGGTTGTCAGATATACAAAACTGCAGATATGCAAACCAAGAGGAGGCTTTACCAGTGAAGCAACGCGCTTTTGTCAGGTATACGAAACTGCAAACTTTAGAAATTTAGAAATCATATTAAACAAATGAATTTTAAGGTAATATTTTTACAGTAATCTAATTACATATTGAATTTCATACCAGAATTTTCTTATAATTTTTAGGAGTCAAAATCTATATATACAAAAGCGTTCAAATCTATCCAAAAAACTACTACAACACAGTAACTTCGGAAGCGTCGTGCTCTTTGGGTATAAATCTAAAAATTTTCAAATCAGCGTCATTAGAACCGGTTACGAGTCTCGTTTCTTAAATTTTTGTCCTTGCATCCATTAATTTCTTTAAAGTGCTGCAGAAGGCGACCTGTTTAAATATAATTAATTGTAAATAATTGTTTTGATAAGCAAATCGAGTAAAACCAATTGGGTTTGAAACTTAGGATATATTAGTTGATATCTGGAGGGTTTCGAAATTTTTTGAACAGCGTGGAGTGGGTTTTTAATTTTCAAAATTAGCGAATAGATTGGAAAATTTTGTTTTATCTTAATGTTATTTTTAATTAAGTTTTGATTTAAACCCATGTCTTGGGTAATTTTAAACCTTGAAGAACATGAACTTAGGTATTATGTAAAAGTAACGATGAGTGGGGTTGAGCTGCGTTAATGCGCTTTAGTGTAGGGTACTCAGTTTATTATTCTTTTTAATATTTTTGAATTAGTAGTGTCGTGTGTAGTTTTCATACTTGGTTCAGGGCACTAGTTGGACTTTTATACTCTATTCAAGGATTACATTATTCCATTTTCAGGTGAATAGTTGCATGCTACATATTTTTATAAATGTTCCCTTACCATGAACTGTTGGAAAATTAAAATGTTGTTTTAGAACTAAACTGTTTTGATAAATTATTTTTGAAACATGTGTAAACTTGGGATACTGTAAACTATTTGTATGGTCTCATGTTTATAATGGTGAACTACCATATTTTGCGAAACTGAATTGTATTGATTATTGGGACCATCTGTTTATAATAGTCTATAAAAATTATTCCACTGTGTGTGGTGACTCTGGCCACTAGAAAACATATCCGAGTTGGGCTGTGATGATTCTAGTGTTCAACAATTGTAAAGAAAAGACCTGGGCTAGGCTAGGTGACCTTCAATCGGATCCTCTTAGAGAAAATGGCCGGGTTGCCACCCCGAGGATGACTCTTGGTTTGATATTGGATCCAATTAGCTTATTGCCTTGAGAACTGTGTGGCATGTATCTTGTTATTTTTGGTACCCAGAAAATTATTAGTGATCATGTTGTAATCTATTTTAAATGGAGAATGTCATTTGTTATGTTCTTGTGAGACATAAGTAACTTTAACCGTTGAACTGTGAAACCTTCTTTTTTAAATAGATTGCCTTTATCAAAACTGTATGCCAATCTAATTCTGTGATATATAATTTATTTTGGAATTGAACCCTATTTTCAAAACTGTATTTACTATCCATATTGCTACTCACTGAGCTATCAGCTTGCTTAATTGTTTATCATTTCCAGGTGTTAGAATTACTTAGAGTGGACTCATGGTGTAGCGGAAACTCAATTGCATGGACCTCTAAGACATTTATTTATTTTGTTTTAGCATGTTATGCCAATTTTGTACAAACATTGTTGTTTGGTTTTATTTAAAATTATTTAATTTTGTGGGTGGTTTGTAACCCATTTAGTATATATTTTTAGAAATTGGTTATGGCTGAATTTACCATTTATACTTGTGACTTGTCACTGGATTGGGTTTTGATTTATTTATTTCTGGACTATCGTCACATTTATTCTTTGTGATTTTGGGTTCATGTTTAGGCTTATGTGTACCTTGAGCTAAGTTCTTGTGAGCCACGGCCGGTCATGCCTGGATTTGGGGTGTGACATGAAATACACAAAACACTTATCCACTAGAATTGTAAACAACAATACACTCAAAACACTTTCTTTATACACTACACAATGGAGACACTATTCACACTTGGACTCCTTGAGACACTAGGACACTTGATTACACCACTCGCATCACTCTTCTTTCACTCAAATACTCAATACCTGGTACATGCACTCATCTCATATTTATATTAGTTGAAGAACTTTTTAAAATATAATCATACTTTCACAACACTCTAGAACTATCTAAACTATTCTAGTATATAATAGAGTTTTCTATACTTCTCTAAAATATTCGGGAACCTTCTAAATTTCTCTAGAGTTCTCCAAATTTCTCCATTGTTCCGGAACCTTCTAAGATTTTTTAAAATCTTTCGGATTTCTCTAAGTCTTTTCAGAGTCTTCTAGATCTTTCCAGAGTCTTCTAGATTCATGTGAAAACTTTTAAAATATTCAAGAGAAAATATTCTAGAGAGTGGGGAGAGTTAGTAATGACTCTCAATAAATACTACCTTAATTTATGTCTAATTTTGGAGAATTTTGGGTGTGATTTGCATAATGAAACGTTGTCCTTCTTCTTTTGACCTCTATTTCATTTCAAATCGCAATGGCTAAGAATTTCTTATAGGTCAAAAGTTGACCTGATCCAACAAGTTGAGCAAGTATGTAAGTTATTTAAAAACAAACAAATTTTTTATAAAACTTATTTATGTTGGAAGTGACTTTACAATATGCATGCTAAACTATGTGAGAATGATTGCTACACATTTTAAAAAATATTATTAGTAACTACTACGTTTTTTAATTTGTGTTCACATTAAAAACTAGTGAGAACGTAATTACTATAATCACATTTTTAATATGCAATACTTTGACTATTAACAAATTAGATAAATTACATTCACTTTTTTTGAAATTTAAAATATATATATATATATATAATTAATCAAACACTTTTAACGTAATTACATTGACCTTCCTTTTAAAAAGATTAAAACAATCGAAATTAATACAAATAGTAGATAGACAATAAAAATAAACAAAGAAAAGTACACATTTTATTTAAAAAAAGACAACAACATCATTTCCATACGATTAACGAATTATCAATAAAAAATAGTCTAACTGCTATGTGAATTAAAACCTAAATGGCATGTTTGATTGGAAGGATTAGAACATGGGATTGGGATTATTAATCCGTGGGCCCAATTATCCCATGTTTGTTTTGATATTTTGTTTTGGGATTATTAATTCAATGGATAATTAATCCAACAAATTTGTAGGATTATTAGTAATGGGGTAGGGGTGGGATTGTGAATACCACACTAATTTAATAGGATTGTTAATACCTCACTATTAGTCTTGTGGAATCAAACATGGCCAAAAGAGATTAATGTAATTTTGTCAAAAGTGTAAAATTAATTATATTTTTTAAAATGTTGAGGGAGGTGAATGTAATTTACCCAACAAAATTTTACTTTAAAATCAGAAATTTTGAAAGCACAATTATCAACGCATTTGCAAAAAACAAAAAACAAAAACAAAAACAACAAAAATACTGTTTATCAATCTTGTTTTCAAGTAACCCTTTCCATTAATTTTTTTTTTAAAGAAAATAATATATAAGGTCACTTTTTATACCTATTTTCTAGATGTATAAGTAATATGACTGGTTGATGATTAGAAAGTATGTGATAGGGGAAAAAATTATTGGTTGGTTCAGAGATATCACGTGGCTATACCCCTGGCCAATCACAAACCACTATGTCTCCCTTATATTCCTCAATTACTCAACACAAAATCATGGACACCATTCCCTCTACCAATTACAATATGCATGTGAAGAGCCACAAGGTGTTGCCCTGGACCAACCAATAATTTCTTTATGATAAAGAGTGTTGCCTTAGACATCTTAATTGATTGTCACATCATTAAATTTAAAAAATTGGTTTAATTTTTAAACTTGTATAGCAATGTTTTTTTTTAATAAATAAATAAATGGTCTTGCTAATAATCAGAACCACATGAAATCAAAATATTTATAATCTCTATACATATTTTATATTTTTTTAACTCGATATCTAATCTAATAGAGACTGACTAATTTGAGAAATCAATCTCACTGTTCACTAACAAAGACCCAATTAAAGTCCGACAAAGCCTTGTATAGATTAGTCCCAAAAAAATATTTGTACATAAGACCGGGCACTCTACTAAATCCCATGCCTTAATCACCAAGACAATCCATTAAATTTCAATATACATATTTTTAATACTAACAACGGTGCTTAAAACTGTTTTTAGCATTTCCAATAAATAAAAAAGAGACTCACGTGTAGATTTTAATTGGTGAATTTATTGTCTAATAGGTACTATGATAATTAATAGTGTTTTTCATCAATTACTATTAAAAAAAAGTCACTAATTATTAATTTTCAACAACAATTTAAAAATTTTGTCATAAAAAATATCATTAATTATAAATTTTAGCGACAGTTTAAAAAAGGGCAAATTACATATACACCCCTCCAGGTTTGGTTAAATTACAGATACCCCCCTGAGGTTTCGGAAATTACATCCCGCCCCCTGAGGTTTGTATTTTCATAACAATTTACCCCCTGAGGTTTATATTTCATAACAAATTACCCCCTAATTTCTTATGCAAATATAGCATTCAGGGAGGAATTCGTAATTTCTCAAACCTCAGGGGGGTATCTGTAATTTTGTCAAACCTGAAGGGGTGTATATGTAATTTGCCCTTTAAAAAAATAGTCACAAAAAGTCATTAATTTTTAACTTTCAACAACAGTTTGAAAAATTAGTTATAAAAAAATATCACTAACTGTAAGTTTTAGAGACAAATTTATAAAATAAAATAAAAAAACGTGACAAAAAAGTTATTAATTATTAATTTTTAAGAACATATATAAAAAATTATTTTTAACAATAATTTTATTAAAATTTATTTTTAATAAAATTTAATAAAAATTAAATCTAACTATAAAAATCTACGACGATTTACCTTAAATAAAACCCCATATATGTTGGGAGAGAGCTAGAAGCATGCATGCATGTCCTAGTTGATGTGATATATTCATATTATAGCCGTTATTCTAAAAATAATGTTGGCAAGACTTTTATCAATTTAATTGGTCTCCTCTTCATCCTAGTAACCCGTTGGTCAACAATGACTTTTTATCCATACACTTTTAATCAATATATGTATATATATATATATATATAAACACACGTGTATACGCTGTACACTCTTTGACCAACAAGCTAATGAATGAAGAATCAGCTTGGACTATAACCATGAACCTTCTCAAGAAACCCATAAAAAAACAAATAAAAAAACGTGAACATTTGACCACGTGTTAAATGCGTGTTTTATGACTTTTTTCAGGCAAACTCCATTCCAGAAGACAGTTATAATAGCCGTTGGAACCAAAATTTGAAATCCCCTGAAAAAACACAGACCACCAAAGAGAAGAAGAAAAAAACAGTATGGAAGAGTTCTTTCAGTACGGTTCGCGAAGTCCGATTTACTGGATAGAAGATGATGCTTTGCCGGCTAATCAGAGCGGTTTTGTTAGATGTACAGACAAGGAGGAGGTTTTACCGGTGAATCAGAGCGGTTTAGTGGGATACACAAGCCAAGAGGAAGCTTTACCTGTGAACCAGAGTGCTTTACTAGGATATGCAAACCAAGAGGAGGCTTTACCAGTGAATCAAAGCGGTTTTGTCAGATATGCAAACCAAGAGGAGGCTTTTGTGATACATACAAACCAAAAGGAGGCTTTACCAGTGAAGCCAAGCGCTTTTGTCAGATACCCAAACCAAGAGGAGGCTTTATTGGGGAACCAGAGCGCTTTCGCTTTACCGGTGAAGCAAAGCGCTTTTGTCAGATACAAAGAGCCACCCATATTGGAAGGAGGTGTTGGGAGCGAAAGTTGGGTTGTGAAATTGAATAATCAGAGTGTAAACAAGAGAATGATAGAGTTTTTGAGGAAGAATTGGAGTCCGATGATGGAGAGTAAAGATTCGGATAGAGAGCGGTCTTACCGGCACATGATTAATGAGAGGTTGAGGAGAGAGAGACAGAAGCATAGTTACTCAGGGCTGCGCTCTCTGTTGCCTCCTGGTACCAAGGTTAGACCATCTGTTCTGTACTGGTTGCTGTATATTTAGCCCATACATACATTTTCAGCTTTGAATGTTTACAGGTTTGTGTGTACCATGTATAGTACACCGTACACACACACAAATTATTTATCTATGGTACGTGTAAAGATCATTCATCATCTTTATTGGCATTCTCTCCCAATCACCTGAGATCAACTAATTAGGCAATTTCTTGGGTCGAAATGGGGCTGATAGTTTCAATTGGTTTTTTGTATTTTTGTATGTGCAGAGTGATAAGAATTCAATTATTCAAGTGGCAGTTAAGGAAGTGCAAGTGCTGGAGAAGAATAAAGCAGAGCTTGAGAGGAGAAATAGGGAGATTGAGGCCATTTTAGGGGCAAGAGAAGATAGGAAGATAGAGGGTGCTAAGATCAGATTAAGGGTAGCTGATCCTTCATCTGGGATTGATTCTATGTTGGAGGTTTTAAAATGTTTGAAGAACATGGGCTCCAAAATTACAGCCATCCAATCAATTTTTTCAGATAAGGAATTATCCGCAGTGTTGGAGATTGAAACCCAGGTCATTATCCTCTCTCTCTCTCTCTCGAAAATATTATTATTATACATCTATACTATATTATTCTAGGAGGAGGATATCCTTTCGTTTAGATTTTATATTAGGCGTTAGTTTGGACCCGTGGAACCATCACGATCCTATTTTGATGATTTGAATAATTTATTTTATTAGATATTTTGTATATTTTATTCACATAAAAAATTAGATCAATTCGATAATTATAATTTGTTTAATTTATCATTTTTTAACCAAAAAAAAATTTGTATTTTTATAAATAAATTATAATTTTTGTTGGTTAAAAACACAATAAATTGAACAAGTTATGATTATCGGACCAATTTAATTTTTTATGAAAATAAAATACACAAAGTACCTAACAAAATAAATTATTTGGATTTTCGAAAGATACTAAATTCCATGGATCCAAACAAAAACGTCCTCCAATCCAATTGGAGGGGATCCTCCTCCGTTATCTTATTTAAGTCACATCACTTTTTTATCACATCACTTCAAATCCAATCCATATTTTATAAAAAGTCAAAAAGTACACTTATTTAGAACATCTCAAACAACCCTTAAATAATTTATTTCGTTGAGTTTTATGCGTAGATCATTTTTACAAAAAACAAAGAGTAATGCTAGAGATGCCAAATAATCTATCAAATGTTTTACCAAACTTCGCACTTGGGCGTGGGACCCACACACATATGGGTTTGTGTGTGTGGATCTCACGCTCATGTGAGAAGTTTGGTAAAACATTTGGTAGATTATTTAGAGTCTCTAATATTTTCCAAAAAGATATTCACCCGATAATCATATCTATATAATTTTATTATATTTGTTTCCAAAAAAATGAACAATAATTATAATTTTGAAAACATACCATTTATTTTCTTAAAAACAAATATAATAAAATTATATAATTATGATTATTTGATTAATTTAAATTTTTTCATATATAATCTACACATAAAATCCACAGAATAAACCGCTTAAATTATCAAAACAGAATCCATAATAAACCTTATGAGACCCAGTAACACCTTCCAGACAAACCTAACCCTCCGTTAAAAATTTTCATATAAGATCCTTTCTCTTTACTTGTAAAGTTTGGTTACCGATGGACCATTTTCGATCGTATATTTTAACTGTGGATGATTATTGACCAAATTTGGTCTGGTGCAGTGAATAATTTTTGGCCACACACAATTGTTGACATTTCTTTGTTGGTTGTTGTGAATTATTGATATACAGATTGAATCCGAAGAAGTGGAAAAGGCTGTGCAGAGAAAATTATTTGAAGTTGAGATGAAACTTCGTACTCAGGTCCCAATCTGAAGAAATTCCAAAGCCAGTCCAAAAATACTAAAAATTTTATCAAAATTTTTATCAAATATTTTACATGGGGTGAGACCCACATGGTATGGGTGTTACACCCATATCAAACATTTGGTAGAACTTTAACGCTGTGCTTGGTTGGGAGATTTAAGAAGGGACTTGAAAAAAGAAAGAGAAAAGGTGTGTGAAATTAGGTAAAATATAAAGTATATTTTATTCACATTTTACCTACCTTTTCTCTTTTCCTTTCTAAATGTCTTCCTAAATCTCCCAACCAAACACAACATTAGGGTCTCTAGCTAGAATTACTCTTTACATAATATTAATCACCATGTGACAATTAATACAAGTCTTTTTCAGTTTAGTACTTTTTTTTTTACCCATACACTTGTGAATCTTGTTAATTGTAATTTGTAACAATGAAGAAGCAACTAAGAAGCTTGGTCTGGTTATTTTCATTTTCTTGAGATTGAAACTGACTGCTTACCTAAATTCTTCTCAAGCACTCAATTTGATGACAACATGATGTAAGAAAAATGGATTAACCATTTCACCAAAATTCTACCATGAGAATTTTTTATAGTTGAAGCATCAAGCTACCCGTGGGAGATTACGAGTACTTTTTTTAGAATAAGAAGTAATCCATAAGTAATGGGCTCCGGAACCTTCCTGCTAATATTAGGAAAATGTTAGTCATTAATCTCTATTAAAAAGAGTACTAAAATATATACAAATGTATAGAATTACAAAAATGGTTTCAAATATTTAAAAATATAAATTGAAATCCTAATTTCTTTGACATTTCAGAATGCTTACTCACACCTAATTTCTTTGGATCCTACCCCATCATATTTTTTTATTAAAATTTTACCTTATTATAAAATACCAATTTTATTTCCATCTTTAACCTTCCAAATCCTAATCCTACCTCACCTATAGCCTAGCCACCACCCATCATCAACAGCTTTGGCCCCTCGCACATTTCCATCTCTAGCTACCCTTACCACCTCCCTACCCTCGTTCGCGCCTCTATGCCTTTGTTCACTAAACCTCCAACCCTCACACATCTCTCTCTTTATTTCAAAGGTTGCTGAGGGGAAGTACTGGAGGTTGGGGACTAGAAGAGAAAGGGCACCAAAGGTAGGGGGTAAATGATTGTCGAAGGCAGAAGTGGCCGCAATGGAGGTATCAAAGAAAGGGTTGACAAAGGTGGAGGTCTAAAGAAAGAAGTGGGGTTTAAAGAAGAAAAAAAATATATAAAGACCAATTTTGGTGGGTAAATGCCACAGAAGTGTGGTGTCTAAAAAAAATATATTTAGAACAAACACTCCGACATTTTTTTTTCGGTATTGAAAACCTATTAAACTATTATTCAAAAGGCCCTTGATAATAGTAACAACAACGAAATTTAACTCCGTAATTATTTATTATAATTTGTCAATATAAATGTTCTTAAGATATTGTTTAGTATTACAATTTATATAAAAAGTATTCAGAAAAATAATGTTACGGTTGTCACATTTTTATACAATATTAGGTTTGTTATATCACTTAACAACACAACATTATTACATTAGTACTAATATCTCACCACTCATGTATTTCAATGTAATGCTAACAACTTGACTATTCCGATGTAGTGCTAACAACTCGACTGACAAACAATAAGGGTGGCAAGGGTAAGAATAAGAAGGGTAGCCGAAGAGGGTCAATTGAGGAAGGGTGAGGGCAAGGCAGGTGGTCAGAGCTGATGATGGTGAGTGGGGCTTGGATTGCCGACATTTTTTTGTTTTTTTTTTTTCTTGAATAGGGAAAAAAAATGAGAAAATTTTAATAGGGTAAAATAGCAATAAAATTTTAAAAAGTCAAGGATCATAATTAAGCAAATATGGGAGGGCTATTAGCAGTTCCCTTGCAAAAATGAAATCAATTTAAACTTTTTAATGAATAATTATACACAAACAAGAACAAATTGAATCAGCGCCTTTAATGAACCCATGGGCTCAACTTAGACTCGTCACTAGAGAAACCTACCCTGCCTTTATTTTTTGATACATCATCTTTTCCTTTATAAAGTGTTTTTTTAATAGTGTCAACAGATTCAAAAAACCTTACCACCCGTATTACCTAAAATATAACTTTAATTGACAAATTAGCTTTATTTATAAAATACTCATCTCTCCTCCCTCACCTGACACCCCAACCTTGCAAAATCTCTCCTCTTTCCATCCCTCCTGGCTCCACCATCGACAATCACAATCAGAGAACCCTACTGCAGCTCTTTCTCCCCCTTTATTTTTCGCATTCTCACCCACAAGATAGCAAAACCCACTGCCATTAACCTCCACAAGTCCACACCGTTGCCTCACTCCACCACAGAACCTCCGTAACCCCCTTCTCATCGTCCATTGCCACCCAAACCCACCATCACTACAATCAACAACCACCTCTCAAAAATCTCATCCAACCACAACCTCAACCTCCCATTGTTGTCATCATCTGCTGGTAACACTTCTACAAACCCACTTCTTACCACCACCTAAAAACCTCTTCTCTAGAGATTCTGCAAAAATAAAATATACCACTACCTTTTTTTGGATCACAGGGGGGCAATAGTGCCACTACTAGTTGTAGGGAGTCTTGGTCTCAAATCGAGACCCAAATGTAGGCAATAGAGCTTGTTCTTTACCACAGCTCCAGAACATCATGAATGTTCAGTTAGGTGTACTGATTGTGTTAGAGAGACGGACGTGCACAAGAGAGAAGTAGATGATTGTCGGTTCAGGTGGGAGGGAAGCTGATTGAGATGGTGACAAAATTTTAGGACGATTAAAGTGTGCACTGATGGTAGCCATATGACACTTGTGGTGGTAGGGGCAAGAGAATGTAGCAGGAATTGGGTGTGGTGGTGTCGCAGCAGCAGGTTTTGGTAGGAAGGAGATGATATAATGGGTGTTCAGATATTGCTACAGCACCCATCAGATCTAATCATTCCATCACATTGCCCACACCAGAAAAATATATAGATAAGGATATCAGAAGTAGCATCCAGCAAACTAAATCTACTATGGATACCCAAATGCCAAATGAATATGAACGCATTCAAATGTGGCCAGACAATTGATATGCAAGAAGCACAAAGACGGATGTGAATTGAGAAGTTCAGATCCAACGGAAGAATGCAATGACATAGATCATGACATTACAGGCAACCCAAAGAACTTGCGCTGCAATGCTGCACAAAAATAAATAGCAACAAGACATTTTCATGGAATCACAAAACAATCAAATTATATCCCAGTTTAATCCACAGCAACAAACTCAATACTAAAAATTGTTTAGATTTTCATAATCTGAATTTAAAATCCAGCAACATACTCAATTAACTAATCAAGCAAACAGTAAGCAGAAAATTTTCATAAACATAGTTGTCAATTGAAAACAAAATGCATTTTTATATCTAGATTGCTTGGAAATGCTTCACTTCAAAGAATTAAATCTTTAAGAAGTGGGTAGCAACAAAACCAAATACCTCCCAAAAAGATGTCTCACTTAAGAGGAATAAACCTCGAGGAGTGGGTGGCACCAATACCAGGTCTCCCGTGCTTGACTGGCTTGTATGAGATTGAAAACTCAGCTAGGTAATGACCAATCATTTCAGGCTTGATCTCAATTTGATTGAAGGTCTTGCCATTGTACACGCCAATGACACTTCCAATCATCTCAGGTACAATGATCATGTTGCGCAAGTGAGTTTTGACAAGCTCTGGCTTCTCACCAGGTGGAGCCTCCCGTTTCTGATCCAAAACAACACAACATGTAAAAGGCAAACATGACTTTACTCTGTAAATAATGATAATTTCAAAGCTAATCAGTGTGTTTGGTTTCAATTTTCTGAATTCAATCTTCTAAAAATTAAGTTTTCTGTCTTTCGTATTTTTTTTGTTTTTAATAAATATTTTTAAAATTTTAAGCAATTTTTTTTTTACTTTTTTAGATACATCTTACTTTGATATATCTAAAAAGTAAAATATTTATAAAAAAATATTTTAAAAAATAATAAATATACACAAATACGAAAAATATGATGAATTTTTATATTTTTTTCGTATTTTTTATATTTAGTAAATTTTTCAAAAAAAACAATTCACAAATATTATATTTTTTAAATGTATTTATGTTAGGTGTATCTAAAAATTTTAAAAATTGCTTAAAATATTAAAAAAATTCAATAAAAAAAAATAAGGAAAACAAAAGTTGTGTTTGGTAGAGCTTTCTAAATATGATTTGAGAATATGAATTGTATTTTGAGTTTGTGAGTTTTGAAATTATTATTTGAGTGTAGAAAATTTGTTTGGTGAATGAATTTTGAAAAGAGTTTTAAATTGAGTGATGTGACATAATTTTTGATACAAAAACTTACAACTTATAACCAAACACACAACCCAAAATTCTATTCAAAATTCATAAAAAATTTTAAAAAAAAAATTGAAAATATTTTTTATTTAAAATATAAAAATAACAAGTGCAAAAAAAATAAAAAATCATGAACACTGTTCCGATCAACCGGCCGAACGTCTGGGGGACATCCAGGTACACGAATTTTCAAACATGGGTGTGGAAATGATTTTTGAAAACTGTAAACAAACGCCGCACTCAAACTAAAAAGTAGAATCATGATTCAAAAACTGTACCAAACACAGCTAAAAAATTTCAATTTTTTGAAAAGTGAATTCCGAGTTTGGAAACCAAACAATATGACTCCATCTTGGTAAATAAAATTGGCAGCATTAAACAAAATAACACAGCCCATGGCACACATCAATTGTTCCAGACACTATTTAACACAATCCTGTGTTTTTCAACCTAGTTCAACTTGTTAAAAACAAGCTTCCACAATATACAAAAATGATATGGACAATTCTCAGAACAGAGATTTAACAGTGGACACCACACGAAAAAAAATTAAGCAATTTTGTAGAGGTGAATGTTACCTTATGAAACCTTCGAGAGTTGATACAAATGAATATGTATCTGAACGAGTCCTTCGTAAAGGTTAGGATTGTTAAGTGTGTTGTCACTCCCTAAGAACATCTCCAATGGGCTCACCAAATTTGTTTGTTAAATGTATTATACAACAAAAAATGGGCCCAATTTTCTGTGTTTTGTTAATTTAGATAGAAAGTAAGTATTCTAATAGTGTAATTAAAATGTGTTAGGTAAGAATGGAATCCACTTGCATATATATATGTGTAAAGAAAAAAATGATTAAAAAAACTATAAAAAGCCTATGGGACCAAACAACCCACCCTCTATCTCTCTCCCCATCTACTAACAATGTTAACCACCCCCTATCTCTCCCCATCTACTAATTGTGTTGCCACAGTTAGCAACAATGTTAACCATTGAGCAAGTTAACAACAACAACAATACATGCATTAGAGATTTAACAAAAACAGATTAGCTCCGTGTCCTAATGCCCAACACTAAAGAGCTATTGGAAGCTCTCCAAGAGCCCATTAGTGTCAAATATTAAGATAGATAACACACTTTTCCCCCTCCAATACACTTGCTATCGTTGTTGTTGGTTTGGACGACAATTGTTCACATGTTTGCTAACTGTAATAACAAAGTTAGCAAGCAAACACACACACACACACAGTTGGCGGCAAGCCCACACTAATTTACTAATTTTTTTAATCTTTTTTTTCTCTTACACATACAGAACTCACTCTACTAAACACACACTTTAACTACACCATTAGAACACTCATTCACTCCCTAAATTAACACGCAAAATTGGGTCCCACTTTTACAACTTTTGCCAACTAACAAATTTGGAATCCCCATTGGAGATGCTCTTAGATACACATGCAAAATAGACACAAGCATCCTCCCAATTTAAACAAACTCATGTAACCACACTCTAGAAGTTCCCCAAATGACCCACAGTAGCAAAAGAAACTCTCATAACCATTATAAAAGCATACCGAGAGATAGCAGCATTTTGATTTTAAAGGAAAAAAAAAATTGTTGAGAAAGGATTAGAATAAAATCAAGCATCCTTAAATTAACTTGTTGCTAGATCAACAGTCCAACACATCAAAAGCCACATGCACCAAAAAGCAATCTAATACATCTCAGAAAATCGTAGTTCATACTTCCAACTATCTCATCGCATTCAATGACATGAAACAAAATCGTAAAATTAATTTCATTACAGCACATTAGCACATAACTTGGAACAGTTTCTTAGTCCATCAAGCAAGGCAACATTAGTCACTTATGATGCACAACACCTCTCTCCAACAGATATGCCACCAAACTCCAAATATACACACAAGCTATAAGAACCCCAAAAATCATTGCAATCATTTCAATATCATTGTCAAGAGCCAAAAAAAATATTGGCATGCATAATAAAATAAAATTACATATATTCATTGTCATTTGGAGTTGAGCAATTCCAAATTGGAAGAACTCTCCTTCATATCATATTTGAACTTTTGCTTCATTTCAAATAACTGAACTTTTTTCATATCAAATTACAACTCACACCCCGGCTTCAATTTTGCTTCACATTTTAAAACTACCACCCACCAGTAATGTGTTTTGCGATTTTTCTTATCCAAAAATATAATTTAAAATAAAAACAGAAACAATGTTTCAGAAAGTACATTCAAACAGGCACAGACAGAAATCAACCACGCAAACATAATCACAATCTCAGATCAAAACAAAAAAAATCCATTTTCAAGTCAACAACAATACAAGATCTAAATCGAACTCAATCAGAAATAAAAATAATAGTTGAAATTATTACCGCTTTGCGCAATTTCTTGATCAAAGCCATCGGCTTCCTCTTGAGGCCTCTTTGGAACCTTTTCATTGTACAAAAACAGATCAATCAGAGCCACTTCCAGAGTACAACAATACATAATATATATATATGTACACATGTATCTATGTGCACAATCACAAACTCAAAATTCAACCTTCTGCGAGCTCGAGCGGTGAAGAGCTTGACGAGCTCATCGGTGGACATGTCAAGGAGAGCATCCAAATCGACACCCCTGAAGCTGAACTTCTTAAACGTCCTCTTCTTCGGCTGTCCTGTAGCCACCTCTGTTTCGATTTCCGCCTAACAAAGAAAGAGAAATACATACAGAAAGATGAGTGTTAACAGATGGATTAAGAGAGAGAAACTGTGTTGCAGATTGGGGGATCGATATGAACTCACCATGGCTGTAGAGAGAGAGAGAGAGAGAATCAGCGAACCCTAATCTGAAGAAGTTTGATGCGTCGCGGCTAGGGTTTTAAGAAGACGACTGTCCGTGTGTATTTATAGGGTAACGCTGAAATGGAGGAAAAATATGGTTTCAGAGAAGGGCCTGTGGTCCTCCTAAATTGATACAAGTCCTCAAACGTTTGTAATTTATGGAAAGGAAGCACAAGTAAAGAATTAGTTGGAAAAAAATCCCAACCCGTCCCCAACCCGTTGGTCCTCCCCTAATGAATGGATTTAGGGTTCCTTAAAATTAAGGATTGTTTGGGATGATCTAAATAAGTATATTTTTTATCTTTTTATAAAAAAATATATAGAAAAGTAGAGAGGCGATGTGATGAAAAAATAAATAAAAAGATGAATTATTTTGTGTATGCCAAACTTGGCCTTACTATTAAAAAATCAACTTCTTTTTTTTTATTTTTTTGTAAACTATTTAAAAAGTTGATTTCCAAAACAATCTTTAGAGCATCTCCAATAGTGTTGTTAAAATTGTTTGTTAAAGTATGTTATATGACAAACGGTAATATTACATGTATTAATTAGTGTATTAACTAGTGTACCAACATTAGTTATCACATTATTATTGACCACACTCATTATACAAATTACAAATTATAAATACTAAAAACTTCTTAAATTATATCACATCATCAAATAGTACACTGATTAATATATTAATTAGTGCATACAATATTATTATATGACAAAAAGTGTGAAAAGTGAAACTCATTTGTGTGTATTAAAGTTAGTTTAAAAAGTGGGTTTGAGGTGCAATAGAAATGTTAAAAGTATGTCTTAAATGTATGTTAGGTATTAAGGCCTCGTTTAGAAACAAGTTAATTTAGTAATTTTTTAATTATTTGACTAAAATATAAACTAAAAAAAACTAGTATGTTTGGGATGATTTTTTGGCTTTTTACGAAAAGATGTACACAAAATAGAGAGAAAAGATAATCTTTGACTTTTTTGTATAAGTTGTTGACTTTTTGACTAATTTAATAATTTTTTGACTTTTTAACTAAAAATGAGGGTTCCTAAATAAGGCCTAAAAATATAAAATAAGAGTAATAAAAACTTCAGTACCATTAAAAAATAAAAAATAAAAAGATTCATTGCAACTATTGTCTTTTTCACAACACAGATGTTGGTGGCCTCGCCACAGTTAGCAACTATGTTAGCATTTGACATAAAATGCTTCCCTTAATGGGTTAAATTTGTTAACTGTATAAATTCTAACACTAGCAAGAGAGATAACTCCATTGTTTATACTCTTAGGTCAAGTTTGACATATACAAAATAATTTATCTTTTTATTTTTTTATTTTTTTTTATCACATCACCTTTCTATTTTTTTACACATTTTTTTATAAAAAAATAAAAAAATATACTTATTTAGATCATCCCAAATAATCTTTTAGTAAGATAAAGTGGAGTTTAGAAGGTGAAAATAAATCAAGTTTGAGTTTGGAACTTTAGTAGGAAAATGATAACTCGAAGTGTCTTCATTAGAATTTATGTACTATTACAAAATATCTCTAAATTTTTGTATACTTTTTATTATTATTTGATCACATAAAATTGTTTTTAAGATTTTTTTTGCTTCTCTTTTACATTCCGTATATACTAAACATTTTTGTCCTGTTTAATTCCAGGATATAAAGGGTGGGATTGGATATTATGTCCTGTGGGGTCTACATATCTCATGTTTGCAATTTTTTTTCAAAGATAATATTCCATGGGATTGTATATCCCCCAAAAGTGGAGGATATACAATACCATCATCCCCCATTATATCATATCCCCTTGGTTGGGATATGATTTAAAAAGTCTAATTTACCTTTTTGTCTATCTAACATAATATAATTTAATATATTTTTTGAATTTAATATAATATAAATATTATTGAATTTAATTTAATATAATATAATTTAATATAGATTTTGAATTTAATATAATATAATATTATGAGGGCAATCTTGAAAATTACTTGTTTATATTCCACAATATATTTTGTAAAACAAACATGGATAATATATATCCAGTCTTATATATCAAGTCAACAAACATGAATTGGGGAATATATTATCCAATACCTATATCCTATTCATTATATATCATGACTAAATCTCACATCATATTATACCTTTTATTTTATATCCAGTGAAACAAAAAAGGCCTTTGTTTTTTTTTTTTTTTCATTTATCTTGCAATTCTACTATATATAGAACTAGGTAGATGAACTTTTAAATTTGTATTCTTTGACACATAAGTTATTTGTTAGTTTGGATTATAAAACCATGTTTCTAAAATTTAATGTTGAAAATATATGTAACGCCCTCAAAATAATACATATAAATCCATATTCTTGACATACATAGACATAAGAGAATAAAGCATATTTTTATTTATCAGAGTATTCATTACAAAAGTATTACATGTTGACAACAAAAGTAAATGCCCTATATGCTTACAACTTTCCAAGCCAACACTTGGTTACAAAAAGATAATACTAACTCTTACACATTAAGCCATCGACTTGAATTTACATGTAATACCAAAATAACAAAACAACCAAAAGAGTCTTCATCTCCCAAAACCTTCCAAGTTATGTCCTTGGAGGTGGCATATCTCCTGAACCTAAAAATGATGTCCCATATAGGATGAGTCAATGCCCAGTAGAGATATACTAAACCAAGTATGAGAAATAACTAAAACATTAGTATTTGATAGATAGCTAGCACTTATAAACCAACTTATATCACAATACAGTTCCATGACAATTATGTTCATGTTTCATTCCACTTTCCTTTACTTATCCAAATCAATTCATAAACATAGCTTAAAACCTGGCCAAACAATTAAATGAGACTAGATCACATATTATAACACTTTCTTTATTCACAATTCAAATAAGTCTACAACTCATATTAAAACACTTCCACACTTCAATTAATATACATATTTTGTTGTATTAACACTTCAATTTAATACACATAATTGTTGTATTAATGGAGTCCATCCCTTATCTCTTCCCAAACAGGTTTGAGAGTCCATCCCCTATCTCCCCTCAAACCATGGAGTATATCCCCTATCTCCTCTCAAACAATATACATGTACAATGTATTTAAACAGTTATCATATACAATGATCAATCAATACACATATTTGTTGTATTATTCCAACCGTCATATTCAATGGCATAACACGTTTGATTAGTTTCAGTTTTCCCTAATCAACATACAGTGTCTACAACAATCAAGACTATCTTCGACCGATAGACCAAGCAGTTATCTCTAAACAGATAATAAATTTATCAACAGATAAAATATTAACATTTTCATAGGTGAGTGATTAAATTATCCAACTACACCATTTACTCCTACAATTTCCCAATTTCATTATCCTCAACTCAATTTCACATTTCCCCAAATTAATTATTCAAATTAATTTATTCAACGTAATTAGGGCATTTTTCCCTTATTCACAAGATTGCCCCAAAGGCTCATATTTCACTCATAATTCATAAACAACTCCCAATTTCAAGTCTTTAACACATGTTTGACTCAAACATGAAGAACCCCTCTTTTATAAATTACAAATCAAATCCTAACCTTTCCAAAATTACCAAACAACACCAACTAATCAAAATAACTAAAATTTATGTCAAGACTCATAGATTAGAGTAGGTTATCCTTACCTTAATTTTCGGAGCTCAAAGAAGGAGAGAGATGAAACTCAAAAGAGATGGAGAAACACTCTAGAAGTAGATGAAACCCTAGAGAGAAGGTGTGTGTAGAGAGAAAGGGAGCTGGATCTAGGGTTTGAACCAAAAGAGATGGAGAAAAAGTGAAGAATGAGAAGCTGTTGCGAACTGAAATATACGAGGCTCGCTCGAGCGAAGGAGTGGTCGTTCGAGCGACCAGACACAAAGAAACCTCGTTCGAGCCAACAATTTAAAGCTTCAGGTCTACAACCCAGAAGCATGCTCGAACGAAGAAAAGCTCGCTCGAGCGAAAAAAACCCAAAACATACAGTTCGCTCGCTTGAGCGAAGGAAAGCTCGCTTGAGCCAAGAAATGCAACTCTCAGGTTGACATATCACCCAACTCTCGCTCGAGCGAAGGAACCCTGGCTCGAGCGATGGAACTAAAACACAGAGCTCGCTCGAGCGACAAAAGTCTCGCTCGAGCGAAGACACAAAAATCTAGGCAGCAACCATTTGTTCCCAATCACAACCAACCTGTTACAAACCTGCCCAACACATCCTAAAACTCAAATACAAAGAATTGAAGGATGGAAACAAGGTACATACAAAAATCAACACCACGGAACTTAAGTCCGAAATACAACAACCAAATGGGAGAAAACCGGGATCGCTATAATGTAAGTTGTAAAACTAAATGGATTGGGTCGGTTAAAGAGTTACACTAAGCAAAGTTAGGCTAAAGATAGGAAGAAGAATCAAGCGAGACGGTGTGCAAATATGAGGAAATGTTCACTAAACATGATAGGAAGTGGCGTAAGAGTCCCCTGGATGATAGTCGCCTTGTTGCCATGTAGGGATGGCAATTTGAACCCGGCCCGACGGGGACCCGATCTCCCGACCCCGATTATAATGATTTTTTTCCAAAAAATACTCCCGTGGAGACGGGGATGGTATTCGAAATTAAATCCCTGATCAGTTTTAGGCCGGGGGCGGTGATCAGTGTTCAAGCCCCGGCTCGTCCCCATCCCCGGCCCCGGCCCCGACCCCGAATTTCCCCGAAGTGAAATTACTAGTTTACCCCTATATATATATACACATGGTACAAAACCCTCGTTTTTGTCTTCCTTTCTTCCTCTATGTCTCTCTTTCTCTCTTCCCTCTACTCTTTCTCTTTTTTTCTCCCTCTCTCTCTCTCTCTCACTCTCGCACTCTCGCACTGTTCTACTCTGTCTCTCACTCTCGTACTGTTCGCGACGCCCTGTCTCTCACTCTCGTACTGTTTGCGACGCCGATCGTCACTCCGCGACGCCAGTTGGCTTCCTCTGTCGTCCATGTCTTCCGTCGTCGCAGTCACAGCCATCCATCTCCTCCATCTGTATGTGTTGATGATCTGATCGTCCTCTCTCTCCCTC